TTCATTCAGGCAGGCTATTCCAACAATTTATTGTTGATATGTACGTCAAAATTGAAACGCAGAGATTGGATTATTACAGAACTCAACAACGGGATGTTAGAACAGAGTGCCTGCAAGGATTGATGGACAGCATCACTTACGGTGAAACAAAAGCATGCAATGTGGGCCAGAGAGTCATTCTCCCAACATCTTTTATCGGGGGGCCACGTGACATGCGCAGAAGATACATGGATGCAATGGCATTGGTACAGCGGTATGGGAAACCCGACATTTTCTTAACAATGACATGCAATCCAAATTGGCCGGAAATAAAAAATCTACTTCAATATTCAGACGAAGGCCAAAATAGGCCGGATTTGATTGTGCGCGTATTCCGCGCTAAGGTTGAAGAACTTAAAGCAGATATTATCAAGAAAAAATTGTTCGGGCTTGTGGAGGCATATACATACGTAATTGAGTTTCAAAAACGTGGCCTCCCACATGCCCACTTTTTGATAATATTAAGCACCCATTTCAAACGCCGCTCTCCTGAAGAAGTTGATTCAGTTATTAGTGCTGAGATCCCTGATCCAGAACGTCACCCATACTTACACTCACTGGTCGCTAAGCACATGATGCATGGCCCATGCGGTGCAATGAACCCTGAACATACATGCATGACTGAAAAAGGCGCGACGTTGGTATGCAAGAATAAGTACCCGCGAGAATACTCAAATTCAACATTGATGGGTGAAAATGCATACCCCATTTATAAGCGGCGTCAAAATGGTGCATTTCTAACTGTACGCAAACATAAATTGGATAATAGGTGGGTCGTGCCATATAATCCCTACCTATTAGCTAAGTTTGATTGCCATCTAAATGTCGAGATATGTGCGGGAATAAAGAGTGTAAAGTACATTTACAAATATATCTACAAAGGGAACGATAGAATTGCTGTCAACGTAGCCCCTGAAAGCGAGCCACACATAATTGACGAAATTGACGACTACCAAAAGGCTCGATGGGTGTCCCCACCTGAAGCTGCCTGGAGAATCTATGGGTTTTCCCTTTCAGAAATCAAACCATCGGTTTTACACTTGCCTGTGCACTTGGAGAATTACCAATACATGCGATTTGACAAACATCAAGACATTTCCCAAATTGTGGATAGTGAACGAAATAGTCAAACCATGCTTACTCAGTTCTTTTTCATGAATCGAACTGATGAAACAGCAAAGAGGTTGAACTTACTCTACATCCACTTTCCTGAGTACTACGTCTGGTCAAGCAAGGATAAAATGTGGCAGCCTAGGAAAAAAAAGGAAGTTATTGGGCGACTTGTCAGTGTCAACCCAGTTGAAGGGGAAAGATATTATTTGAGGGTGTTATTGATGAACGTCAAATCACCCCATTCATATGACCACATTAAAAAGGTCGGCGAATATCATGTCACAACTTTCCGTGAAACAGCTGAGAAACTCGGGTTGTTGCAAAGTAATCAAGACCTAGAAGTGTGCTTGCAACAAGCCTTGTGTTGGCAAATGCCATCTACCTTCCGCAAATTATTTGCAACCATACTTGCCTTTTGTGATGTTGCCGACCCAAGATCATTGTGGATGCAGTTTAAGGAGCATTTGAGTGAGGATCTCATTAAATCTTCCTCAAACATGACCGAATCAGAAGAAAAATGCCTCCATCTTTTGAATGAAGCGTTGTTATGCATGGGGAAAAATATCAATGAATTCGCTTTAGTCTCACATCACATTGGAATCACAAAACACCAGCGAATCCAACGAGAAATCCAAGCCGAACGTAATCTCACACCAAGTGACGATGATTTATTGGCCATCGAAAAGCTGAACGTTGCGCAAAAGGAAGCATTTGATGTGATCATGAGTCGCGTTTACTCAAACAGGGGAGGTGTTTTCTTTGTTGATGGGCCAGGAGGGACCGGAAAGACATTCTTATACAGATGTCTTCTTTCGAAAGTGCGGTCAAACCATGACATTGCCCTTGCCACTGCAACGTCTGTTGTTGCCGCATCTCTATTACCTGGCGGACGTACTGCCCACTCCCGCTTCAAAATACCAATAAACATCGAAGATAGATTTGTGTGCAGTATCGGGAAACAAAGTGCAGAAGCTACCCTGATACGAGATAGCAAGTTGATTTTGTGGGACGAAGCAACAATGGCAAATCGAAGAACAGTTGAGAATATTGATACCACATTAAGGGATATCACCAATAGTCATAACTTATTTGGGGATAAAGTGATGGTATTCGGAGGAGATTTTCGACAAACGTTACCCGTGATAAGATCAGGAGGAAAAAAGGATTGCATGGACGCAAGCTTGGTAAACTCCCATGCGATTTGGCCACATATTGAACGCTTACCATTGCGCGAAAACATGAGAGCAAAAACTGATCCGGGCTTTGCATCATACTTGATGCGGGTAGGAAATGGAACTGAGGATTACGTGTCTGACTTCTCCATTGCCATTCCAGAACAATTTCTTATCCCGTACACGGAGCACGAAGCATCGGTGGATGTATTAATAGAAAATGTGTTCCCTTATTTGGTTTCATTTAGCGTCAACCCCTATCCACTAATGCAAAGAGGAATATTAACCCCAAAGAATGATGGGGTTGAAGAATTGAATGAGAAACTGGTCCAACGAATGCCAGGGGAAGAGAGATGTTATGTTAGCTACGATGAAGCACTTGACATAAGTACACACGCCGAATATGGAGACCTGTTGAATGCCATTTCTTTGGCCGGCCAACCCCCACATAAATTAGTTCTGAAGAAGAACTGTCCTGTTATGCTACTTAGAAATTTAAATCCTGCCGAGGGGTTATGCAATGGAACACGATTGATATGCCATGACTTTCGTGATCATGTTATTAACTGCTCCATAGCAACGGGTGAACACATGGGGAAAAATGTCTTTATTCCGAAGATACCGCTCCAAGCAACTGAGGACGCCAAATGCCCTATACCCTTCAAACGCCACCAGTTTCCCATCAAATTGTGCTTTGCCATGACAATCAATAAATCGCAGGGACAAACATTTGATTATGTGGGGATTTATCTACGCGAGTCAGTGTTCTCTCACGGACAACTATATGTTGTAATGTCACGGGCCCAAAGAGCAGACTGTTTGAAAATATTAATTTGCAACAAGGACCGTTCTGGCAGCACCAACTTGACCCCTAATATAGTCTACGAAGAAATATTGGAAAAAGCCCATCAACAAGTAAACGTATGAGAATAGGTGAACCCAAACTAACCATTCCTTTTGCACTACAAATATCAACTATGGTTATTCATAAGTATGTGGTGTTGAACATGCATGCCTGACAAAAAATCAATTGCAACATTCAATTTTTTTGTCTGGGAAGTGTTAATTCTTTTTTTTTTTCAATGTGCTTGGAAAAATGTTTACAAATTATTGCTTTAATTAAATCATCCCCGCACGCCGTAAACCAGTTGTATAGTTAATACCATGAAAATAAATGCTCTTATTGGCTGTAGAATACATATATGTTAACATACATACATGTGTATACAACAGCTGTACAATGATTGAACCATGCACAAATAGTCTCACCAGACTATGTTGTCAGCTGTTAATGCATGATCTCCACATTTCAGATTTCCCCTTTGTTTTCCATCTGCTTTTTATTTGCATCTGAATTTTCTTTGATTTCTTTTTTACAACCATGTCAACTAATGACACCATGACACATTGACACCTTCACTCTGCTTTGGGGTGCACCCGGTCTGCTGGTTGCGTTCGAACCAAGACTGTTCCTGACATTATTTTGGGACCGGCCCAAAACCGTTTTTTCGATTCCATTCCAGAACCACCCCTACCCCTGAGACTATGTTACCCGGTCCCGGGTGCCATTTTTCTATCCAGGACTGGCCGGTCTCGGGCCCGGTCTGGTGAGTGGTCAAACAAGTTAAATTGTTTCGTTATGCCATTTTACTTTAAAATAGTTCAAACAAGTTTTCTCCTAGATTTAGTAATAGATTAAGTTAAATAACTAATAAATGATTGAACTTTGTTTCTTAAAATAGGTTGACACAGATGGTCCGTATAGTACAAATAAGTTGAACTTCCAAATTCCAACCATCTCTAATTTGAAATACTATAAGGTTCATTTTTCCTTAATTACCTGCTAATGTTTTACTTCCAACAAATTATATTTAGCTGGGTGGGGTTCCGACTGCACGTCTACACCTCTAAAATTTTTGTACGGAGTGCTTCGAAAATTATCTTTAGTTGGGTGGGCTTCAAACTACATTTACCTCCTGCAAATGTCACATTGTGATTCGAAAATTATCTATAGTTCATGAATGGGAGTAGTTGTCCTACAATTTGTAATCATATTTTTAGCACCCCTAAACACCAACTTATTGCAATGACACGATTCACAATTTGTCATCCAGTCAAGTATAAGAATAACAAGACATTCACCCCTCTTCTATGAATCTATGAATATAAAAGGGAAAGCTCACTTTTACTACAAACTGAATTGAGAGTATATAAGATGCAATTTGTGTGATACTACTCTACATAAATGAAAATTTCTTCTTTTTTAGTTAATATCAGTTGAGAATTGAGAATTGGTTTAGTTAATATCAGTTGACTAACCACTTGTATAGTTAATGTCATGTCTCAATTCTTGTCAAGTTGAATCACCTTCATTAGCATATATATGAAATGGAGACAATTTTATACATCTGGCTTTATTTCATTAACTCAGAATTGGAAATGCCGTGAAGTGGGTTTTATTTTTAATATCACAGATAAACTGTCTCTTACTTTTGTTAATATAATACTACAGTATGTGTGATAAAGACCATTATTTTCAGGCTCTCAAGTTTGCGTCCTCATATATAATTGTCAGTCAGTCAGTCTTGCATAGCTATGTTTGACTACTACTCAAATAATTTGTTAATACGTCATCACTACTTACTGACTTTAACAATTTCCTATCCTACACACAAGGAATATTCAATGGCTACCCTGGTCCGCTTGGTCGCTGTGAGCCCAGAAACGCATAAGTGGACTTGTGAGGTCCGTGTGGTAAAAAAGAGTGCTCCAAGAATCTCAGTAAACGGCAAACCATATATCTCACTGACACTTGAGGACAACGAGGTAAACACAAAGGAATTGTCACCACCCTTAGAACAACTCTTGCGAGTTACTCATTTTTCTGTGTTACCCTGCCCAATGTCCAAATTTGATTCAAACATATATTCCTGGTGCTCTAACAAAGGGAAACCCAAAGATCATTTTAGATGAATCAGAACTGTTTTCCGGCTGGGCTGCTTCAAAATACCAGTTTTCAACTGCTATCTTTAACTCTGGTTCCAGTTTCGCAATATTTGTTATTGGACGTAACTTTAAAATGGTAGCTATTTTTTTCAAAAATAAACATGATACTTCTATAACAATGATGAATTTATGACACAATAAATGTATACTACAATACGACCTTGTAATGCATGGTTTTTAATATGGAATACATGATAGCCATGATAATTACTTATACAGTGAATAGATGTTCAATTTTACAGTCCTGTCCCAGTGGTCCTGATAATATTTTCATACTAACTTTAGTGACTATATCCGTTTTCTGTTCTACAATCCTAACTTCATAATATTTTATGAATTTGTAATTGGTTTAATGTTCATGAAACTGGTTCATCTGAAATACATAACGATCAATTCCAGGCATTTTAGAAGACTTTATTTCTTTCGTTGAATTACATAGTCGTAATCCCCATTATGCAGAATTTAAATTAAGGTTTTACCACTCCAGATGAGACTCTATTTTCAAACATTTGCATTTGTTCAAAAACAAACAGTTGGCCTATTTGATTACACACGTGGCCTATTTTATGCACTTAACTCATGTTTAATCTCTGCTTCTTATATATACCTTTTATAAATGATATATTCATCTAATCGTTTTAGTTACTTTATGTCATCCTGCACATACCACTTCCAAGTTCCAAATATCTTTACGGTGCCAAATTTAAATATTCAAACTTATCACTCATTGAACAAAAAAACATGGCATTCGCATTCAGGCGATGGTCTTTGATGAAGATGTCAAGATGTATGAGATGATGATGCAACTGGAGTCCTGGTATACCATCTCGAATGCCAAAGTCCGACCCCCGAATAACAATTTCACCGTCCCAGACAAGAAATATGCCTACACCTGGGTACTTAACGGTAGGACTATGATACAACATATTCGCAAGGATGACTTTGTAGCCAATTCTGCTAGCAAGGATGATTTTGTGGCCCATTCTGATCTGGGTTATTTACTCGGCGAGTACTCGGTGAGTACTCCCTACTCGGTGAGTACTCCCTACTCGGCCTATGACCTTGCAGAGTAGCACATTACTCGGCCCGAGTTATTATTCCGAGTTACTCGGCGAGTTAGCCAACTCGATCAGTGGGTCAAAAAGGCGATTTACTCGGGAGTACTTGGTATTTAAAAAAACATTACCTCCGCTTGGGAAAAAATTAAATTGAGATTATCCTCTGTGTTGTTTCTTATTCTCCCTCATGTTGCCTAATATATTCTTCTTTGTATACTGTAATAAACTCTAAGAATTTTGGATTGTTCTTCGTTTGATTGTGCTTCTTAAACTGGTGTTTTCATTGTACATTTTCAAGTCTTTGGCCAACTAAAGTGAATGTATTGAATGTACCCCTGAGACCTGAGTTACTGAATGCTGAAATAAAATCTCTTAATTGAAAAGGTGAAAAATATAGCTTAGCAAAAAAGCATCATGTTTGGTTTTGGGTGAGCTGCAATTTTCATTTAGGGAACTACCTTTGAGGACTCGTTGTTCGGTAGGTGCCACTTTGAAGTTACTTTGAAGTTCTTCAATTGGAATAAGAATAGGTGCCAAAAAACTGCAGAAAATATTTGCCTTTTCTTCCACTGCTCGTGCTTCTTGAATTTGTATTCTGGTATTGTAGACGTATTATATGCATTTTAAGACAATTTCTATCATTTTATTCACTTCTAAACATTTTAAGACAATTTAAAGACAATTTTATTACTATATCTTAAGACTACTATATTTAAATATATTTTTTTATATTTAATTAATACTAGGCCGAGTAATCACCGAGTAATCCCGAGTAATCGGTCCTACTCGCTACTCGGCCCTTGACCGAGTAGCTACCGAGTAGCGAGTAAACTACCTAGATTCTGATAGCCCACAACTATCGCAGTTCATGGATCTGTATGAATGTATGAAGACACAGAAAGAAATATGTAAGTCACATCTTCCTTACGACTATAAACAAATTTGTTCTCAGCTAATTACTTAGCTATTTAAAATACAGCACTCATAGCATTAGTCATAGAAATACTACCAAAGGAGTTCAGGCATACCAACCATGGACCTCAGGACATCAAAGATTTTGTGATCGTGGATGAAAAGTAAGATTAGTAAACAATGCCCCTCATCCTTTTTAACTTATTCCATCACCTTTTGACGTGCCGCTTTTCAATAATACACCAGGCTAAAACCAATAGTAATCACGCTCTGGAACAAGCATGCCAAGACAACTGGAGTAGAAATAAAGGAGCAGCTGATGGCAGGGATGTCCCCTATTATATTAATCGAAACGGTTCCAGTGACCACTTCAAAGGTACTTTGCTTATACAGATTCTATACACTTAAATACAGTAATAAAATACTAATTCTATGCTCAACTCGAAGGGATTTCTCTAAGCACTCATGCTGACTCAACCATAACTCTCAGTCCAGATACTCCCCGTGCCACAGATTTGGAAAAGTGGTATGCTTTAACTTGACAATTACACAATTGCAGCGTTCACTCTTAACATTCTGAAAGCAACATCACACCTATTAAGCCAAATAACTTCATGCAGGGCTGTCGAAAATCGTGCAGCACTTGATGGCGTAAAAGTCTGTATGGAGTACAATAATGCTGCCTCAAATTTGGCAAACCCCGATAAGGAGACAATAATGGAAATAGCAAAAGTGACTCCACAGATTGACGAGGTCAGTTTGCTCGTAACACCGACGTGCTTTCCTTATTTCACAATGTAAAATTAAGACTTCACAACCCGCAATCAAAGGGGCAACATACCATTGAATTGGGGTATATTTCTGCACTACACGTAGCATTGACTTCTGCTGCCCGATAACGTCAATTACCCACAATTAGTTGTATGTCAATTACACAAGGGTACAACATAACTCTTACTTTTAAAAAACATATTGCAGCATCATCTCATTTAAATAATGATTGTTTCAAAACTGGGAAAAATTTATAACCTTCTAATCTTTCGGGATATAATCACATAACTGAATTACTTACTTTCTATTAATTATTTAGTTTCTCTTTCTGCTTTAATTCGTAGATGCATATTCCTAAGTTTCCAAAATCAAATTCGCTCGAATTAAGCTCATAATCCTTGTTCATTTATGTGACACCCCCAAATTTCCCACCCAAAATAATACTTTGAAATAGAAATGAACTTTTATTTATTATTTAAACATTCAAATGTTTGCAGCGGAAATAGGTAAAATAAAGGAAAGGGGGTATGTCACCGCCACATCCAATCCGTGAATGGTTGGATGTTAAGGCTATCTACCAAAACATGAGTTTAGATAAAAATCAAGATGTTCGAATCATAAGTAAATATTAAAGTTTATTCTAGTGAACCACGATAAGGTCTTTTAATTCGCGCTCTCAAACATTCCAGCATCAAAATCAACATGATCACCTCCTGTTAGAACGAGCAAAAGAAAATAAAAAGAAAACAAACATTAGCAATAATGCTAAGTAAGTTCCACATAACCTTTTAAAATAATAATAATTAATATATATATATATATATATATATATATAAATTCGTACAACCTCATAAAATATTTTTCAAATCACTTTATAAATTTTAAGTAAATGGTATCTATACAAAATCCCAACCACACAATATGCAAATATCATAATAATTGCAAAATACATGAATCACCAAAATTTTCCTCTTTTGAATTTCTCCCAAAAATCATCTTGTAACTAACTCCCTAGTACTTTAGAAGGGCGGTGCTCAATACTTTGGTTGAGCCCGGTGGTCCGTTGTTATGTACGGCCACCCCGGGACTATTGCCGGTACCACATCTGCTCAATGGAAACGGAAACAACTACCTTAAGTGTGCACACCCCCTAAAGGTATTCCAAGCCCTCCGGGTTAGTAAGTTGATCCGGGTAGTCAGGATGTTTTCTACCAACTACCCCACCTCAAACACTGAATGATTAGGAGCTACTACTACCACTACTACTCAAAAGCCGGGATGTTTTCTACCGACCATCAATTCACCTCAAACCAATACCAACAAGAATTGAGTAGTAGTAGACCTAACCACCCTCCACATTTTAAGGGACGTGGAAAACCGACACCACGGATTTCTCCCGTGATGCCCACTCTTTATGAAAATATTTATTTTTCTTTGCTTTCTCAAAATCAATCGAAGTTTATACTTCAAAAATTTCCTTTTTATCAAACTCCCACAAAGATAACAAATTACGTACTATTACAAAGTCTCCCAAAATTGTATACAATAACTCATATTAACAAACCAATATATCAACTAATATTCCAAATACAACCCTTTCATATCATAATATTTAATCAAATTCAGCACACATAAATTCAATTCTCAAATATACACACAAAAATATTCAAAGAAAATCAAAAAGAACTAATTTCGGTTGTCGTGAAACTTACCTCGAACTCCAAATACTTTTAGTTAGGTCTCCTACTTTGCTCCTCACTCAAGTCACCTTCTATTAAAATTTACAAATCAATATCTACCCAACTTATAGTTAAATCCCTTTTTATTCTTTATTGCTATTCCTCAAATATTAGTAATATAAACACGTCATTGATATAATTTGAATATTATTTAGTTTAATCAACTTAACTGGTATAGCAGTAGTATAAGTCATGTTAGTTTATTCCGATTGAGGTTCGCACTTATTTCTTTTATTCAATTCCCCAAATAATTGATAATGCACTAGCTACTAATTCTGTTAATTATAATTTATTCTAAATCGAATCACTATTTGGGTGATTAATTAGACAAGAGTTAGACAGGAGTTGCGTGATACACTAATAATCATTAAATTAAGCTTACTATATATTATCTATCTCTGACATATGTCAATTATGTTATATTACTATTTTAGTTTATAATACAGTAATCATCCAAGTATTCATATTAAGGTGTAATATTTACTAATATAATATGTTTGATCAATTCATTACACGGTCCATTGCCTACTAATAGTTCAATCGATCCAGCCTTAACTGAAGGTAGCCAGCATTCGTACTTTAGTTTAATCAGTCCATTTTTCAGGATTTCAATTTTAACTTTCGGGTTTATTTTAATAATTCCTTATTAGAGTTAATATAGTTTCCTCATATAATTGTTCCAAACAGATTCTTATTTATATAAAGTCCAGTTATTTTCAATTAAACAGTCTGGTCAAACAATGTACTTCGTATGAAATAATCTACCCAACGAGACAATCTAGGTCACTAGGTGTGGTGTATGATGTAGGTTTGTAATCGTGGTCTTCTTTACGTAAGAACGCAGGGGTCGACGCATACCTCAAAGACGACTGACGTACGTATGACAAGGTGGTAGCGGGCGGCGGTGGTAGCGGCGAATCTCCGACGGTCCACTTTACGAACTCTTCCCCCGACGGTGGTTCACTCAATCTTCTCCTTACTCAAGGTCAAGAGTCTTACGCTCCATCGTTTTCTTTCTCTCGCACTCTTCCTTTTCTTTATTTTTCTGTCTCGTTCTTTTATTTTGGGTGCTGCCTAAGTCTCGATCATAGTGATGCTATTTATATGAGCAGGCCGAAGGTTCTAGGTCCAGAGACTGTAAGGAAACGGATCTATGGCATTTACTGCATTTCCTTCGCTGGCTTTAACGCATGCGTTATACGCAGAGAATTCGGCGAGAACGGACCGAATTATATTCCTACACCCGCATTAGTATTGCTATGTATATTGCGTATGTACGTAACATGGCATGTGTGTTATCTATCCATATATGTACTCATATGTATTACTAATAGTAAAGTTGTAAAGTCATCATTAGTGTATTACACGTATTACTACGTATTACTAATATGTATACGTGTAAGTGTATTACTAAAAGTCATCATCCACTTAATTACTACTCTTGTAAAGTTGTAGTGTGCATAGTTTTAATAACCGTACACTTGGTATAGTTTTCTAATTGATTATATACTACAACGTGCCACTTTAATTATTTAAGTAAAATTGAATATGACTAGCATAATTCTTATAACAGTATCATTTTTAGCTATTTATTTTTACTCCCTCCGTCCCGCTATGATTGTCACATATTACCATTTCGGTCCGTCCCACTAAGTTGCAGTGTTGCACCGGCCAATTATTGTTGTTATTACTACGTAGTAACGACGTAACGTAGTATATGCATGTAATTAAATAATATGTAACGTAGTAATTATTATTGTTATTACTACGTGATTAATATGTATGTGTGTATGTAATGTATATGCATTTCACGTGGATGTCATATGAAGTGTTTACGTGAGGTAATATATACTACGTATGTATGAGTGCTAATTTTGTATCACATACTGTCATCATCATTATAAATTATATGCCTTGTATATATATATATATACTTAGCTTATTAGTTACTACGTATTACGTACAGACTACGGAGTATAATGTACTATATATTTATTACATCACATTCCTATCATTAATATTTTATTCTTATTCGGTATGTTATAATTTATTCCTATCAAATAATTTATATTAGTTTTATTTTATTTTACTTTATTTCATATTATTTATTTATTTATTTACTTATTATCCTTATGTTAAATTTTTAGGGTGTCACAATTTACAATCCACATAGCCTCATGGTATATACTTGGTCTACTTCACACTTCGACATCGTAATGCATGCCTTGGAACTGAGATTTTTAAATTGTCAAAAACATAACAATAATATGACATTACGACATAATAGCACACTGTTAATCTAATGACTCATAAGCAAATAATCATTTTATCTGCCTTCAACACACTATTAATTTTTAAGTATTCAATGGAAAATAAAATGTTACATACATACCCGTTTAATGGATTGAAAGGACATCAATAAGAATTGTAGGTGAAAATTTGATATATTGAAAAATTAGTAAAGCTGGACTGATTAATGAATAAAACTTGCAAAACCATCTATGTAGGGGGAAAAATCAACATTTCACACTCTACTGTATGCATGTAATAAACCTTCTAACCACATCCCAAATGTAAAATAAAAAAATGTTCCTTGTTTTATCATATAAACAACCAATCATCTGGTGAAATGTAGCAGGTGGTTTTTTTAGATACCTACTACAATTTTTAAATTTAAACCACTTGCCTTTATTAGGTATAATAGGTCCAAAATTTAAACAGTATAACAAATACACTAACATACCTTTACAGTCAAAGCCCGCATGGATTCAAGGCAAAATAACTCTGGCCATTCAAAATGAAAGTCTTTGGTACGTCGGATGTAACCGCTGCTCTAAGAAAGTCCATGGCGGATGTGACTATCAATTTCACTGCATGACTTGTGGCGAACCAAACGCTTTTGGAACTCCAAGGTAACATTCATTTTTTTTATTAAATAACCCACCCACACAATAACTACATATGACCTATTCAACATGCAGGGCTAAGTTAAGGGTCACAATTGAAGACAAGACAGGTTGTCTCAGTGCCTCAATGTTTGGACGATGTGCTGAAACATTGCTCCTAATGACAAGCAAACAAATCATGGAAACAGAATCACAGGTTAGTACGCACCAACCCTTCGTCGAAAACATTACGAAAAAAAATACAAACATGCAGCTAATTCCTAAACAAAATTTAAAATACCATCTCTGTAGGGGAAAAAAACATCATTTCAATACGCCAACAAGCGCTTAATGAATGAGGATTACATAATTCAGCTGAGATCGA